GGGGTAGCATTATACTCAAATAGCATTATACACACTTAAATACAGTATCAATTCAGAGATGTGTCTAGCTCAGTAGGCATTTATTTTTGACCACATATAAGAAATATGTTCAATTAAAAATCTGAATTAGACTCAGGAAATTGATTCAATTCTCAGACTTGATTATTTATTTGTACACATGTTACCTCACCTCACCTCACCTCACCCCACCTCAGAGCTCGGTGGACAATTTACCCAGAGCCTCCCTCTCAGCAAAATGACCACAAGCTGCATGTCACAATGAGTTTTGTATTAAGAGTCAAGTCACACCCCCGGATATGATATGGTAAATAAGGAAGTTCCCTCTCCTATCAGATGATATGATGGGGTGTACAGAGCCAAGCTGTCTACCAGCCACTCCTTAAATGCCCTTAATTTTACCCAAACTGACCTAAAATTGATAGAATCTCCAAATGGGAAGTGAAGAGAATCCGTTAGCCATTTTGCCCTTTGCCACACAGCAACGACAGGTTCTACATTACATATAAACTGTTGGGCTTTCTCGTCTGTCAGAGCACCACTACGAACATCTGGCTTGCTCCCAGGTTTAATGACACTTAGAATCCATTAGGTGCTGTTTTACATGACAAGAGAATTACTCAGAGTGGAATCGTTGAAGCACTTAGTCATGGAGCTCAGGGGAGGTCACAGTTCACTTTGTATGTTAGAAAAATAGATTACAAAGCCATTTTAATTTAGTACTCCCTTGGGTATTTGCAATGTTTTATTTTCTTTGAGGAACATATTGATTCAACATCTGGTTTGAAGCAAACAATTTAAAGTGTCATTCTGTCATGCAATGAGAACAGCTTTCTTATCATGTTACGTTTATTGTTCCTACTGGGAAAATGCTTCCTTTTGAGCCATCAAAAGAGTTCCTAAGTAAGTATACCTGGTTCACATGACAATATTTCAAATCTGTCCATTTTTAAAATGCAAAAAACCCACACATGACGGTAAAAACTCAGATAACAGGTTTGGTCCTACAGTGTGTGGTGTAAACACACATTAAAGACAACACACCACACACTAACAGATTCTAATCACAAACATTAAGTTGTCAGTTGGGAAATATTGCAAGACCCCTCAGGATCAAATTCAGAGTATATAAAAGTGGCCAACAACAAAGAAGGAATGGTGATTGTTTGTAGACTATTTTTAACAAACAAAAAAACTAAACAAAAAGATGTTCCAATATCCACCAGACTTTCTGGTGCTCGATGGCAGTTGTTTTGACTTCTGTATTTTGGATTGCCCTCTGTCTTTTTGTCACCTCACTTTCTGATTGCCTACACATCACATTCAACCGGCTGCAGCTCATTTGTCTTTGTGGAGCACCACAAAGGCTGAGAAATTAAACCAAGACAAACCAACATGTTGAATATCCCTGATTTGAGGTTGGAGAGGTCCCAACATAACTTCCAAGTAGACTAGGTCGCTCTGAACACACCACATATGGCAAGAATATCTCATGAGATTATTTTTAGAGCCATAATTGTGGCATTCTTAAGGTTGTTGGAAAAGCAAAATTGCATCAGAAATCTGAATAATCTTGCTGTGTGAACTAAGCTTAAATTTACAGTTTTTCTCCAAACAAGAGAAAAATTGAACCCAACTTAATAATCAGTTTAGTATCATGGATCTACGGCTGCCAGTAAAAACTATTTTTGACCAATCTGTTAACTTTTTAAAACATTTCATCAACTGGAAAAAAATTGCTGTCTCTTTAACTGCAAACAATTTGCTTCACACCCCGCCCACCTCCAGCGTCCAGACCGGTTCATTCCAGTTTAATAGAGGGGTGTACAACTATATAGCTGTGCAGAAATATTTTTATTTCCAAATTAATTAAAATATGTCAACAAGGGAAGACTTGTCCATCCAGCCTTACATGTTGAACCAGAGTCTGACCCAGAACCAGAAGAGAATGAAGACCACCAAATTGTAGTTGGTGTCCAGACCTTATTTAGAAAATCTGTCGCAAATAACTCAACCTAATAGTTCTGAAAACTTCACAGAAAATACGAATTAAACAAAATGGCCCAAACAAAATATCAAGTTATCTGCAGCAGCAGAGACTAAATTTAAGTTTTCTGCCTCCTAGAGTCTCCAAGTACACAACAAAATGGATTTAAGGGTAAAATAGTGGATTTTGCATATGTCCCCTTTAAAACAGGAAGAACAAAATACACTAGGGTAAGGACATAAGGCCTGCCTGATGAAACAGTTTTTTTACTTGTGCTGCCTCATTGATATTTGCCGCAGCATCCTTTGCAGCTGGAACATGATTCTGTCACAGACAGAATTTACGCTACCACCCCCACGACCGTCAAGTGTCAGATGCGTTTCAGAAAAAAAAGCATTTTAAAATGTCTCAAAACTTCACTTAACTTCATAATAATATTGTAGTGCTATACAACAAAGTTAATAGCCAATTAATTTTAATTAAACCAATTTATGTCGTTAGTCTACTTTATTACATTTAAAATTCTAATTCAAACAGAATAGCCTCTTGTCAAAATAATAATAGATTGTGATTTATTTTTAACTCAGAATATCTTCAAACTAATGGAATATAAAGTTATTAGTGAGAAAAATCCATCTGGATAACAGCAGACTGACTGCTCACAAAATATACAACAGGTCTGGACCACTTGTGAATTTTGTTCGTATCTGAAAAAAAATCTTAGAATACTAAAACATTGGTGAATGCCATAAATTCTCCTAAATCACTTGTACGCACAATTTATGAAAAAAATCTGTGTGAACGAACAGTTCTTGCATGAGGCCCATTGTTTAGGTTGTCCGAGACAACCTATTTTTCATTTCAGACAACCAGATCCCACCTCCCAGTTGGACAACCAAGAAAAAAGACCTGGATTTAAGTTTTCCTCTTTCAAAGACGTGTTTGCATTTGACTTTGATTTTTTTCTAAAATCACAGAGTTCTCTGAGTGAGCTTCAGGTGCTTGTAGTTAATCATAATATCTTATTAATTTAACCAGGTGTTTCAATGCCTTTAAATTAGTTACACAATCATTTCACTGAAGAAACTTGTCAGTTTGGTTAAAAAAATAGTATTTTTTTTCTGTGCAGAGAACCTCCTCTGCCAAAATATTTTCAAATAAATATATCAAAGCTCCTCACTTGAAAACACTAAAATGATAGAAGAGCTGTTTAAAACCTCTTTCCTCAGAAAGTCTTCAGTCCTAAGAACACTAAAATGTAATTTTAATAAGGTCACAGTATATTATTATTTAAATAAAAATGTTCAAATTATGTATGTAAATGAACCACATCACCATTCAATCACAGACAGGGTTTTTTTTCATCCAATCAAACCCTGTCTGTGATGGGCTGGTGATGTGGTTATGGTTATGGTGAGTGGGGATGGATCCACATGAGCGGAGGCCTCCTAAGTGGGCCCATTGCTCTCCCCAAAAATACACTGGTCTTCATTCAAACCTTCTCGTCTCTCGGATGAAGGACACAAGGTTAGAAACACTCAGTGTTCTGAGCTTCTCAGGATCCATAAAGGGGTCCACAAGAATTCATTTCCTTTGACCACTCAGAACCAGACAGTGGCCTAAGTAGTGCAAAGAGGTCTCTAATTCAATGCCACAGGCATCACACAAACCATTGTCATGGAGTCCCATCACCATTTTGTGGTGGTTGAGCAGATTGTGCCGAGTTAGAACTCCAATCAGTGTACTTAGAGTTTTCCTTAACAGGGTGATGAGAGCTTTCCCAAACCTTAGATTTGGGCCGTTAATCAGTTCTCAAGCTCTAATAGCCGCTTGGCTATCTGGTAGGATGATTATTTCCTTCTGTGTACACTGAAGGTCTTTGAGAGATGCCTCATACTGGTGGATTGCATATATTTCAGCTTGAGATACAGTTGCAAAACAGCCTAATGGGTATTTATGCTCTCCCTTACTATGGTTGTGCAAAATAAGCACCCCTGCACCTACTGACCCCTTCAGAAGGGATCCATCTGTAAAACAGTAGAAATGATTGGGAGACATGTCCGTCGTAGGGAGGTTAATCCAGACAGACCTGTCTTATATCTCTGTCTTAAAACTTGGCTCAAAATTGTATTTTTGACCATTCTGTCTCCAGGTCCTGCAGTTACTGGAACAGCAGCAACTGCCCAGTCCCAGATTCTAGTGTGCTGTGAGTCAGATAGGTTTTTCCACCTACCAGACTGGCGTGGCCTTACTGCACTGAATGCAGCCTCCCCTAAGATATGGAAACCTAGTGGAGCCAGGTCCAGTAGGACTTCCATGGCTGCTGTGGGTGTTGTTCTGATAGAACCTGTGATGCTCAGGCAGGCCATTCGTTGCACATGGGTGAGCATCACTCTTGCCACCCCAACTTGGACTCCAACCCACCATACTAAAGCAGCATAGCATAGCATGGGGTGGACTATGGCCATGTAGATCCACCTGATCAACTTTGGGGTAGCACCCCAATGACTACCTGCAATTCTACGGCAATGGTGTAGGCACATTGCTGTCTTCTTACACTTTTCATATACATGTCTTTTCCAGTTAAGCTTCCTGTCTAGATAGACACCCAAGAACTTAACTGACTCTGACAGGGAGAGTTCTACACCCTCCAACTTTGGAGCTGAGTAACCTTTCCTTGACTTCTTATGAGGAAAAAGAAACAACTCTGTCTTGTTTGGGTTTACAGAAAGTTCCTGCTTGCAGCACCATCTGGATACTTTGTTTAGTCCCCTCTGCATTAGGTTACATACAGTGATGTGGTGATGTGGTTACAACTTGGGTTGCGAGCGCCGAGACAGAGCTGCAAGCAAGCAGAGAGGAAGTTGAGAGGAGGGAGGTAGGGAGTCGAGCACAATCAGGAAGAAAGTTGAGCAAGCAGGGAGGGAGCTGCATGAGCTTGTCTGTGGTTTGAACGCACATGGTTCAAATTATTGTTTGTTCATATTGATATCTTCTCTCAAATCAGAGTTACTGTGACCTTGTGGTGAATTTTCAGGTGTGTATGGCCCTTTAATACGTGAACGAGCATGTCGGACCGGAGCGCGCATGGAGGCGGGCACGGGCTTCTCTCGGAAGAGAGTCAGAGTAACATTTTAGTTGTGTGYACGCGCTTGTGTGTCTCTCGTGAATAAACATGTCCAGAACTGAAGATTAGCGTCTCTTTTCTTTATTAAAATGTTAGCCTAGAGTTTTATTGACTTGCCAGAGGAGGAAGTCCACTGGTTTTCATCGACCCAGGAGCAGCAACAGCCAGAAGCAGACGGTGAGCAGAGACAGCAGAACCAGCCACCCAGCCAGAAGTAGCAGCGAGCCACCAACAGCGAAACCAGTCGGAGCAGCAGCCCCAGATCAGCCCCAGACGGAGCAGACAAAGAGAGACGAGAAGGGTCGAGCAGCTGACGGAGCCGAACCGAACCGAAACGGAACCAGGGACCAGAAAGAGACACTACAGAATGGCGTCACGAATTTAGGTCTGTTTTGCATTTTCTATTCACGAACTTACAGAAAAAGACGTTCATGTGGCCGTGTTCTTCGTGTATCTGCTTCGTGATGTTGTAAAATGCAGCTGTGAAACTGAACGGGGGAGCGTAAATATACGTGAAGAGTTCAGATTGTTTTTGTGTCTTTTTCGTGTCTAGAATCAAATTTCTTTGTCATGCTAGCGTTTCTGTTTATGTTTTTGTGTATTTGTGTTTTTATTGGGGTTAAAAATAGCGTTTATTGTCGAGTTCAGGGCTCCGTGGAGAACAAAGAGTTGCAGTTGCAGAGAAAAGGGGGGCAGGGCGGCACATGCTCTGGGCGCAGCGAAAGAGTGCTTTGTCGTGACACGAGGTGTCGTAAACCAGCTTAAAGCACGATAAAACTGTTCCTTTTATGTTTTAAATAGTCAAGCTGTGGTGTTTTCTGCTCCGGGACTGGAAAAAGCATGTAATTCCGTCAGATTCAATTTTTACGAGAGATAAACAGTGTTTTATGCGGAGGTGCAGTAGAGTTCATATGGAAGGCAAAACAATGCCACATTTGTGTTGGGAATATTAAATTTGAGGATTAGATTTGCAGCTACAGAGTAAAAAGCAGTGCAGAGTGAGAATAAAGACGTCTCTCAGTATTGAAATAGAAGTTTAAAGGTGTCTGGCCAGTTTATTAAGGAAAAAAAAAACAGAGAGGAAACTAAAGGGATCCAGTTTAGGTTTCTTAAATTTTTATGTTTGTTGTCTGTTATTGTTATGTTAGTTAGTTTGTTTGTGTGTTAAAAGCTTGATTTAGTGGAAATTTGAACACTGGCCATTCAAAGTTTTAAAAGAGGGGTGTGGTTCAAGACTGTTCTTTGTCTTGTCCAAACTGATTTATAGCGCAGTGGGGGTAGCTTAGCTGTGTTGCAAGACATATGGTTCACATCTTTTTCTCTACCTCTCACTTGCTGTGGAGTTTTTACCACTGGAGATCTGGCTTTGTATTGTTCTTAGTGTGTCCGACCCTTTGCTAAGCTAAGCTGTTTTATTAGTTATTTTTTTGACAGTGTTGCCCGCCACAGAGAAAAAAGTGTGTGTTCTCTGGTTGGTTTATGTGTAAAAGTACGTACTTTGAAGTTAAAGTGTTGAGATGCGCATCTCTGGTAAAGTGTGTTAACCGCACCACCGTGGTTAAATTGAAGGATCGACAAGGAGACGTCCTTTGTCATCCTGTTAGCTGCGGTTAGGGCGCGGTCACGAGGAGCCGTTCAGCCTTGTCATTTTTTGTTACTTCACCCAGATAGGATTACACGGTTGCAGTAACTTTTTGAGGCCTGAGTACTGTTTAATTCCGCTGGAAAAAGGCTGGGGAGGAGCATGAGAGACTGGGTGTGAAGCCTCGTCTGAAAAAGAAAAAGAAAAAAAAAGTGAATTAAAGGGGGCCTGTCAAACAATTTTTTGTTATTTTTTAAAGCTCTGTTCAAGCAAGGAGTCCAGGACTGTGTGTGTTGTCTGTCCTAAAGGTGTGTTTCTGTGTTAAATTTGGAGTTTTTGTTGTTTTTTCTGTTTTTATTTGTATATTGACTTGCCAGTTGGGCTGGTTTCAACTGGTGGGGGTTTGAAAGTTTTTTCTCTGGCTGAGAGCTTTCTTTGTCCTGTCTTAGCTGTGATTTACGACAGAGGGGGGTTGGTTCCTCTGCTGTAGCCTGTGAAAAACATCTGGACTTGTATTAACCTGTTTTTTTTTTTCTCTCTATCTGTGTTTCTTTGTTCGGGGCGCCTCCTGCGGGTGAGAGAGAGACAACTCCTGCTACAGGAACGACCCTGGGGGCTGTCTCATATTTTTACAAGGCGAGTAATTTTGGTTTTATCCACAAACTACAAAAGAAAAGTAAAAACAAAGCAGTATTTTAATTTTTAGTCATTTTTT